TTGACTAACTCCAACTCCAGGAAGTTCAGTGCCCTCTTCTGGCCTCTATGGGTACTCACACACATTCATAAAATTAAAAATATACACATAAAATTTAAAAATAACCACACACACACACACACACACACATATAATCAAAAGTAGTAAAATACAGGTCACAAAAGAGAAATTCTTTACATTAGTACCAAAAACCTGTAGCAATTGTGTTTTGGGATGGAGTCAAAACAGCCCAGGCTGCCTTCAAACTCACAATACTTCTCTTGTTTTAGCCTCCTGAATGCTGGACTTTAACACCGGAGCCACCGCTCCTGGTTTAGCTGCTAGTTCTCTCGTAAAGGAAAGGGGTGCTCATTCCCTTCAAGATTAGGAATGACACAAAATGTTTTACTGCTGCTTCCATCTGACCTAGCAGTAAAGCCCCCAGCGAGTGTGGTAAGCTAAGTGGGAAAGGGTGGGTTTGATGATTAAATGGAAGGAAAAGAGAAAATGTCACCCCTCCCCCATAGTACTAGACCACCTACATATAAAACCCAACACAGCAAAGTATCTCTTGCAATACGCATGTGTGCAAAGCATGCTTGCAAAATTAACATCAAGGCATGGCGAAGGGCGCTGGAGACTGCACCTGTGGGGAGCAGGCTGTGAGCCTGCCTCCCCATCCAGCTTGGCAACACTCCCTCCTCCTCTCCTGCACTCCCCTCAGACCCGAGCTCCCCAAACCCTCAACCCTGTCCTGAAAAAGAAAAACAAAAAGAATAGATGGGGGCGGGGTGGTGCTGGAGAAATGGGATCTTGCTAGCAGGCATGTATGTTCCTGGTGAAGCTTTTCTTCTAACAAAATTTCCTCTTTGTAATGAAGGTCTTTTGTCGTCAAGGTTTCTCAAGGACTTCATCATGGTTCCAGGGACTGGAGTCCATCATGACAGGGACAGTATGGCAGCAGGCAGCCAAAGCACAAGCTGAAAGATCACACTTCCGAAGACTACAGTCCGGGCGGCCCAACAGTGACTGTCCCACAGCCCACAGGCCAGTTCTCTGGCAGTTGTTCTGACCTCGGAAGTAACTGTCTCAGTAGTCCCCATCTGACCCTGGAGACTTGGGGGATTCCTGGAAAGCTACTGATCTGCAGTCTGCATTGGAATCCTGAGGAAGTTGATTTCATGCCGGCTGTGTCAACAGTCCTGATGAACATGTTAGCGAGAGTGGCAAAAGCAGGCCAATAGGAGAGCCTCCTGCTGGGGAGTCCTTTCACGTGGGCTGCACCAGAAGATGGTCTTCCCGCTTCAAATAATCTGACTAAGAAACCCCCAAGAGTGCCAAGTTGGTTTTGGATATCACAGAGTTAACCCCCAAGATCAGCCATTCCAAGGGGCTCAAAGCCACTGCGTTTGTGTAGCCAGAGTTGAGTCAGCGTGCTTGTCCACCCATGAGGAAGCAGATGGGAGAGAGGCTGGACACAGAATGAGACTTTTGTAGCTACTAGAAGCAGTGAAATAAACACAACCGTGTCTGTGGGCCTTTGAGTGTGCTGGACTGGCAGGATGGGTCAGTGGGTAGAGACTCATCACCTATGAATCTAATGACTTGAGTTTGATCGTGGGGCCCACATGATGGAAGGAGGAAATGACTCTAAGTTGTCCACGTGCGCGCACGTGCGCGCACACACACACATACACACACACACCAAGTTAATAAATAAATAAATGTAAAAGAATCATGTTTGAGGAGCAGAAAACGAAGAGGTTTTTAGCTAACTGTGTTTTGTACATTTCTAACGCAGCTCGAGGTTCAGTGGTGGAGTGCAGGCCTAGCATTTGCAGGACCCTACCTGCCTTTCATCCTTATCGTTAGAAAGAGAAATAAAGAAAACCAACGGCTGCAGGAAGCAATGATGCTTCGTCCAGGATCGTACAAGCAGTTGCTAAGACTGCCGATTGGGAGGGAAGAGGAGAAAAGGAGAGGCTTAAAGGGGGTGAGAAAATAGAAAAGCAAGGCTAGAAGACACTCAGAGCAGGGGAAGTGCCCATATGCCAGCCTTCTGCACCTGGGGCTCAGCTAAAGGAAACAAAACAACAAAGAGAAGGAAGGGGGCTGGATGGGAGTTGGTGGAGGCTGGGAGAGCCCCTTGAGTGCAGCCAGCCTGCTTGTTTGAAAGAAAGTCGTTTTTCTTTGGGTGGGATGAAGGACGCGGGACCAGGCAGGGAGGAGCCTGAAGGAAGGGGTGAGCATGTGCCATCTGAGACACAGAACGAGCATGGAAATCTACCCAAAATTGCACTAAAACCCCTCCCTGATCATCCAGTGTCTGTCAGGGTCTGTGGGGAGCTGCCTGCTCACTCTGGAGCCTCCCCCAAGCCCCATGCGAATTAACACATGTAGCTTTTCCCTCACACTGCCAGAGAGGCCAAGATGACCCGGGAAGAGGTGTCCACACTGGGCGGTAGGGCAGATTGCAGACAGGACCAAGCCAGCTGCAACACACAGAGGCCCAGAGTGGGGAATCTGAGGGAATCTGCTCTGAAAAGCCAAATAGACCCATGGCTGAAGTGGTGGCACTTGCGCAGAACTCCACACTGGAGGAGTGGAGGCAGGGGGTCAGCTCAAGGTCATCCTCAACTAAAGTTTGCTTCCAGCTACTATTAAGTCAGGGGATGCACTTCAACAAACAAGGCTGGAAGGGAAAACAGGACCCAAGTGTGTATAACGTAACTCTATCATCTCACCTCAGATTTTGTGTAGGACACAAATGTCCCCTCCTCCTGCATTTGTGTGTGTATGTGTGTGTGTGTGTGCCTGTGTAGATCAGAGGACACCTTGTAAGAATCAGTTCTCTTCTATGGTGGGCTCCAAGCCTGCATATCAAGCTCTCTTTTCAAAAAAGATTTATTTATAAATGAGTACTCTGCCTGCATGTACGTATGCACACCAGCAGAGACATCAGATCCCATTGAGTGTTTGTTAGATGCCATGTGGTTGCTGGGACTTGAACTCAGAATCTCTGGAAGAGCAGCAGGTGCCCTCGACCACTGTGCCATCTCTCCAGCTCCATATCAAGCTCTCCCATCCACTGAACTATCTTGTCAACTGTGGTGATATTTTATTTGTGTTGTAACAAATAAAACTTGCCTGAGGATCAGTGGGCAGAGCTAGCCGCCACTTGATCACAGAGGCCAGGCAGTGGAGGGACACACTGGGGAGGTGGAAGCAGGAAGATCAGGAGTTCAAGGCCACACTGTGCTACGTGAGATTTAACCACTCTAAAGAGAAATAGAGCCCACACCTTTGTTCTCAGCACTTGGGGTCTCTCCCAGCACTAGAGAAGTGGAGACAGGAAGTGGAATGGCTAAGTGGAGAGAAGATTAAGGCGGGAGCAGACACGAGCTCAATCTTTTTAGGCTGAGGAGTTGGCAGGGTAAGAAGTGACTGTGGTTTGCTCCTTTGTCATTCTGATCTTTCAGCTTTCACCCCCTAATATCTGACTCCAGGTCTTTATTATTAAGATCAATTAGAATTATATATAGTCAACTATATTACATTTTTAAGGCAGTGTTTTCAGAAATGTAAAGGCTAGAAAAACCACACACACACACACACACGAGAGAGAGAGAGAGAGAGAGAGAGAGAGAGAGAGAGAGAGAGAGAGGTGATCTTAGCTGCCTTTCCTCAGCTGTCTGGGGCTTGCTGAGTAAGCTGGGCTTGCTGAGCAGTGAACTCCAGGGATCCACCTGTGTCTGCTTCCCCAGCCCTGGGATTACACGGCCATGCCACCTGGATCCAGTCTCCCCTCTCCCCATTGCTCAGCTCCTCTGCTGTCACCTCTCTCTAGTCAAGGTGCTTCCAGCAGCTCACACCTGTCCCCCAGTTCTGGATGGATAAGCAGCACGATCACCACAGGTTCATTACCACCCAGACACACTGCCACAGGTTCATTACCACCCAGACACACTGCCACAGGTTCATTACCACCCAGACACACTGCCACAGGTTCATTACCACCCAGACACACTGCCACAGGTTCATTACCACCCAGACACAGCAAGGTGCAGGTCATCCTGGGGTACACAGTGAGACCGTCTCAAAAAACAAAGGAAATCTATAAATGCTCCTACTCAGGAGGCTGAGACTGCAAGATCAAAGCCTGCTTGGGCTAGAGAGGTTACACTGAACAACTTAGCGAGGACCACGTCTCAAGTATAAAGACTGGGGCCAGGTATGGTGGCACATGTCTGTCCTCCCAGCACTTCGGAAGCTAAAGGTCAGCCTGGGCTACAGGAGACCCTACCTCAAAGAGGGGTTGGGAGGAAAACACGAGATGTAACTTAGTGACAGGGTTGCTTGGTTGGTCCTGGGTTCAAGTGCGGGGGCACTTAAAATTATGTATATATTTGAAATTGAAACTAAATTTGCCCCAAATATGTATAGACTTTTACTGTGTGTAGTCTCTGAACCCCAGTGTAGGAACCACTGACCCAGCACCTCTCGGCAGTGTGAGGCACCCGGAGCCGGAGGATGGATGTTAAGTTACAGGCTAATATGACTTGTTTTATATAGTGATTTGTGATGGTTTGGATGAGATGTGCCCCATAATCCCAGGCATTTCAATACTGGTTCCCTATTTAGTGGCGCTGTTTGGCGTGGTTTAGGAGCTGTGGCCTTGTTGGAGGAAGTGTCACTGAGGGCAGGTCGAGACGTTAAGGATTGACACCATTTCTAGTCCTTCCTTTCTGCCTCCCACTTGAGCTTCAGCTTCTGCTTTTAGCATCGGATTCCTGCTGCCCGTTCGTTCATAGTGTTTATCACAGCAATAGAAAGGTAACAAGGTGTCCGACCTCCTACAGGCTTTAGTATTCCAGAACCCATCTCCATGAATACTGAAAGATAACATCGTACTCCAAATGTATTTACTGATCCCATCAGTGACGGGCAGTGCTAACTTGCCCCAAAGACGACGGCACTCTAAAGTGCTCATTTTTAAGATCCAATCACACACTAAATATTTTGGAAAAAAAAAAGTTAAAATTTATTAATAATAGTTAACATCACATGGTTAATTCGACTAGTTCTCTACTGTACATGGTGACAACACATTCACTAGACTGAGTGCCCAGGGATTTGAGATGAGCCAAAAGTTACTGAACATCACACAAAGCAGCATTAGCGGAGGGCTGTCAGCCCAGGGCTGGGAGCAGCCAGCCTAGTGCCAAGAACACAGCACACTGCCTCCTGCTCTGGAGTGAAAGCCAACACTTCCTCAAAAGCTAGCCACACGCCCGTCTCCACCTACAAAGTGTCCTCTCTCAGAGATGGGGCCTGATCTGACAGTGTAAAATTTAAGATTCAAAAATGTCGTCAAGATCCGTCTGCATTCCGTGGCTACCCTCTAGTGGTTCCCACATCTATAGGTGGCTTTGGCTTTCAATGGTCTGGATGAGGTCAGGGGAGCGAGGGTGCCACACCCCACTGGCAGTGCCAGCCTGGTACAGTCTCAGGAGGACCAGGCTCTGCTCTGCACGACTGAGAAATGCTCACAACGTGGGTGTACCAGCGGTGAGTTTCTCTCGGTCTCTCTGTTTTGACCCCTGCACCCTGCTCATTAGCACGACAAGGCTGTCCCCTCTTTAGTAGGTCATAGCCGGGTTTAACGGTGGTGGTCAATCTAGTATTTTTAGAGCAGAAGAACTTTTGGAGTCAGAGCAGAGGACAGGGCTTTCGAGACCTCCTCCTCCAACAGTCTGAAATAAATAGCATGTATAAAAAAGCGAGTCAGCCCCTCAGTGCAGCTCAGTCTGGGGAGGCAGACGGACAGCAGAGGGCAAAGGTACAAACACCCCACAGCATCCCTGAGGTTTTTTGGTTGTTTCGTTGCTTCATTTGGTTTGTTATGACAATCAGATAGAACTTTAAGGACATTTTTTTCTTTTTGGTGGCTTCCTTTAGCTTGCTAAACCGCTTTAAAACACTGACTGACCTACAGATGGAGATTGCTAAGCAGCGAGTATTTGAACAAGTCCTTCGGTTTCCTTTAGCTAACATCCTAGGCGATATCACTCAGGAGAGCAGACAGAGCAGCCAGCTGCTGCAGTTTTCTCTGTCCGGGGGCCAGCCTCAGTCTCCATCCCTGCCCTGAACACGCTCCCCAGACTGCAGGAAAAGGCTGGTACTCTGCCGTCTGCCCACCACATCTCTCCTCTGCCCGCGGGTGAGTGAGTTGTTTCTAGGAGCCAGTCAGTGTCTCCAGCTCATATTCTGAACTACACGGATTTACTAATGAGGCCAAGTCACAAGACCCTGGCCAGCTATGTACAGAACAAAGGAACATATAAATACATTACTTACAATTAACCATTACACAATGAAGGAGAGGACCTGTTTCACAAACTAAATAAATTTCAAACATAAATTAAGAAACAAACAAAATAAAACAGTGTTTCCACTTCTGCAGGGGGGGAAAAAAACTTTAAAAAGCTACCAAAAGTCACCCCCAACCAAGGTCTGTTTTTCGTGGATGATGCATTCAGCCATGTGAGGTAAAGCCACAAACACTTGGAGGAGGTGTCAAATCTTGGCTTTGGTTTGGATTCTCTATTCCAGGACAGCAAATGTTAGAACCAGCAGGGAAATGCTTATGGATGAGTTGAAGAGGGTCAGCCATAAGGCCATCATGGGGGGATGTCCCTCTACTTCGCCTCCCTCCCAAAGTCTGCCTCTGACAAAAGAAGCAAACATCCTTTTGGTGAGATGCTGTCCACCTACAAATGTCACATTCACATCCAAGATGAGGCAGCCATGTCTTTAAGACTATCTCCATCCCAAAGGATTGTACCGGAAGTAGAACAGGGAGAGAAATGATCTCAGGAGGTAACAGGAGCAACTGTGAACAATTCCATACTTCTGATTCTCAGGAAGGCCAAGGATCGGGTGTCAAACTCTACAGTGAACATACAGAGACAAAGTCTCAGTCTCACAGGGTCCTCTCTGGGCATGAAATGACAAGGGGTCCATCCATCCTCCTAACTTAAAGCAGGAAGCGGCCGCGCAGCAGAAGTCCCGTCTGGTCTCTGACTCTACCTCTGTCCGGCTTCCCGGATGCGGCAGGCCACCGCAGTGATAAGAGCCGCTCCCTTCCCACTGCCATCCTCGGACTCCAGGAAAGACACATCACATTTCGGAGCCAGATCTCTCACGGTCTCATGCATGACTTTGGCAAAGCTAAAAAGAGAGAAAGAAGGGATGTGACTGGTTCGTGTCCTCCAAGGATGCTGGAAACAGGAATGAAGGTGAGAAGCACGACAACAAACACTGATTGGGTACCGGGTGCCAGAAAAGGCAGTCTTGAGGGCCACGCCCTAGTCTTACAACAGAGTGGCCAGTCAAGAGAGCGGAAGGCTCAAGTTTGGCACAAATGTCTTGAGAGGCTGGTGAACTTCTTTTCAAAATAAATCAGCTGGTCCTGGGATGGAGCTCAGTTGATGATGCTTGCCTAGCGATACAAGTGAGGTCCTTGGGTTTTATCCCCAGCATCAACTGAGTGTGGTAGCACTTGTCTGTAATCCCAGCAAACAGGAAGCAGAGGCAAGAGAGTCAAAAGCTCAAGGTTACCCTTGGCTCCATAGAAAGTTAGAGGCGGGTCTGGAATACAAGAGACCAGCTTTAAAACAGCTGGAACGGCTGGCTCAGCACAGCAGGGCACACAACTCTTGCAGGACAAGATTCAGTTCCCAGCACCCACGTGACACCAACTCCAGCGCCATCTGGCCTCTGTGGGCACGGTACCCAAGTACACAATTTCCCCACACTCCCCACCTTTACCCATATGCAAATAATTACAGGGTCAATTATGGGTTAGAGGGATGGCTCTGTGGTTAGAGCATCTATTCACCTACTGTTCTTTCAAGAGACAAATGTAATTGGTAGCATGTCAGGCTGCTCACCAATGCCTATAGCTCCAGTTCCAGGGAATCAATCCGTCTCCGGCACCTAACCCTGTGTATGTACCCCTATATAGACACATGCACATACATGCCTCAGTGTTGTGGGTTATGTGTCATCTAAGCATGAATAAAGCCACTGTCAGCACACAGACACGGGCATGGCTATGCGCCTCCAAAACCTTTAGTAACACAAGCCCCAAGTGGTACTGTGTGATAATCCCTGGATCACAGGGAAAATCTTGCTGTTATTGTAGAGAGAGGCAACCAGAGTATTCCCAGCAGCACTGTTCACAACAGCTAAAATGTCATAACAATTAAACAACAGAGAACAGCAGTGATGTGATCACTGGAAAACATGATCCCCCCCCCCCGCCCCCTGCCGCAGTCAGGTGTGCTGATGCACACCTGCCATCCCACCTTGTGAGGTGGAAGTCAGAGGGTTAGGAATTCAAGGCCAGCCTCAGCTGCATAATCTGGTCAAGGCCAATGCGGCTCACACAAGTCTCTGCCTCAGAAAACCAAAAAGCTGCTGTCCAGCCTTGAAAATGATCAAACCACAACCGCACAAAGACTTTTGATATGGGAGTCCCTTCTGTGTGATGCTTATATTGGTTAATGAATAAAAAAACTGTATTGGCCTGATAGGGCAGAATTTAGGTAGGTGGAGAAGACAGAACTAAATTCTGGAAGGAAGAAAGCAGAGTCAGAGAGATGCCATGGATCGACCACCAGAGTAAGACATGCTGCTGAAACTTAGCCATTAAACCACTGCCACATGGAGATACACAGATTAATAGAAATGGGTTAAATAAAGATGTAGGAGTTAGCCAATAAGAAGCTAGAGCTAATGGACCAAGCAGTGTTTTAATTAATACAGTTTTTGTGTGGTTATTTTGGGGCTAAGCTAGCTGGGTGGACGGGACGAACAAGCAGCCTCCTCGCAACAGACTCCCAAGCCAGCAAAGGGGCCATGACCATTAATCTCCAAACTAAGCACTAAACGCTCTTTGGAGTGGCTGAGAGAAGTCAAGGACAGAAGTGCACCAGGAAGGGAGGAGAGGGAAGGCCTCCAGGGGCAGGCACTCACTGAGGATGGAGCTTGTAGAGAGTCCCGTCTACACCCACTGTCACTTTGAGGCTGTCCAGCCCTCGGTTTTCTCTTATCTTGTCCACCACAGCAGCCATGCCTGCGCCGCAAAGCTGAGCCGCACGCCGGGCGACCACGGTGCACACCTCCTTCACGATGATGCTGTCATCGCAGGTGCTCTCCAGCCCTAGGTGGCGCAGGATGGCGCGGACCTGCAGCAGGGCCAGGCAGTCACTGCGTGCGAGGGAGACAATGGATGGTCAGGTGTGCCCAGGCAGGTTCTGGGGAGTGAGGTGGGGTGGGGGCAGCATTATCTGGCTCTTGAGCAGTGTTCATCCGCTCATTCTTCCCACAGGTGACAGAGCTATGAACAAACGGCCCTCGTTCTATCTGACACCCAAGGCAGAACATGGCTACCACAAAACTGATGCTCACAGGTGTGCTGGCCTGCAATCCCAGCTTTCAGGAGGCTGAAGCAGGAGGATTGCCACCAAGTGCAATGGCCACCGTGGTTACATAGTAAGATCTACCTCAAGAAGACCAAAACCAAACTACACTAAAGACAAAGGGAACTCACATCCTCCAAGCAGACTAGCCCTGATATTCAGTTTAAACTCAGCAATACCACTTTCCACGGCCTTTTTCCATGTCCAGCATGGCTCTTTGGGGAATTGTCAGTCAAGAAGGGGTCACTCACTGTAAGCAGACCAATGTGAGCCACATCCTGACCTCACAAGAGCTGGGGAAACCTGTGAGTCCCCATCCTTACCTCTCGATCTGAGACAGGAACTTGGTCTCAAAGATGCCCCTCGTCTTGAGGCGCTCTGAGATGCGGCCGCGGAAGAGCAACCCTCTCTTAGTGAAATCGATGAGGATGTTGCGCACGATCTCGCCCAAGTACATGCCGCTGATCATCTTCTCGAATCTGCAGTGTGACAGTGCCCACAGAAGTCAGAGGGGGCAAATGTGTCCAGGCAAAAAAGAAAGAAGGGAGCTGGCACACTCCTCTTGTGGGAAAAGAACAGCTCCTGCGTCGTGTGAGCAACATCCAGGAATCTTTGCAAACATTCACCAAAACTCACCACCTGACTGTTGACAGCTCCTTAGGAAGAGACACACTCACAAACCCAATACCACTTTCAGGATCGGGGGAAGATGGCTGAGTCTTCATCCCTAATTCCATTGGACAACTTACTTGCTTTCCCTTGGACCTCAAATAACTGGCGTCAACACACACTTTTGGAGCCAGCCATGACTATGACTAAGCACAATGCCTTTTTAACAAGCTAAAGCCCAAGGGCCAGTGACGATACTATTGCTGCCCTACCTCATTGTGTAGCCTGCTTCCTTCATGGATGGTGCTTGCCTGGCTTGCAGAGGTGTTTTAGTCTGGGCCCTCTAATTTAGACTAATCATTTGCAAAGTGTTGTCTAAAGGGCCAAGATCTTTGACTAATTCAGTGTGGTGACCCTGTAGATGGCATCTTCCTAGTGGGAAGGGTGGCAGACATTAGGCCTCAGCTCAAGCTCTAAGCCTCCACACTGCATGAGACTCTGTAACACTGGGGATGCTCGTCCATTCTGACAATAGAGGCACTAGATGCTGAGTAGCCAGAGAAAGGCTTCCTTCCTGTCAAAGCCACGCCAACACCACTTCTTCACCCTGGGAGCCATGAGCTGCCAGTTCCCACGGGCTTTCCTCAGTCTCAGACCTAGCCTCCAGTGCACTCTCCCTGACCTGATTGGTGTGTTTAAGAAGCTCTTTGAAGGAGAAACCCATTAAGGTCCTCAAGAGAATAAGTGTCTGGTGGGGAAATGCCGTGGTGGAGAGAGCCCAGCCAACCGAGGTCTCATTCAGGATGTACGCCCCCAACACAGGTGAGTGCTTACCTCTGCTTGCCGGGGTTGAGAGAGAGCTCATCCACAGCAACATCAAACTCTGTGCGGAAGTCATCCAGGCAGCCGTTGTCCCCAAAGGCCCCCCACTCCATGTTGACACACATCCGTCCCTCCTCTCCGTCCACCAGCTCCACATTGCGCATCTCTTCCATGTAGCAGGCATTGCTTCCAGTGCCTGTCAATCAGAGGGCACCGGTCCTCCCTCAGCACCATCCACCCGAGGCCCTGCATCCCCATTCGGGAAGGAGAGTTGGTGTCCTTACCAACGATAAGGCCAACTTCACAGTGAGGGTCTTCATAACCACAGGTCATCATGGTCCCAACTGTGTCATTCACGACAGCAACTACATCCAGGTCAAACTCCTGATGGCAGAAGCAGATGTCTGTCTAGTCCACAAATTCCAATATCCTCTGCTTAGGCACTTTAAGATAGACAGACAGACAGACAGACAGACAGAGAGACGCACACACGCACACACAGCCACTTCTCTGCTCGCTCCTGTCTGCTCTCCCCATTCAACCTCACTTTTCCTCAAAGCCGTCCAGCAGCACCTGCCACTGGATCACGGGCTTCTGTTTATAGAGTAGACTGTTGTGGTCAGCCCTGAGTCCCCATGCCCAGTAGTTAATCAACCACTGCTGAGTAATGAAGCTAATTTCCCTCCAACAAAGTAATAGCATGTGATATTGCCCTGACTCTGAATACAGCAACCACCTTGGGTACTGGGGGACCAACACATCAGGATCTGCACTATGTCTCCTACGGGGGTACCAATGCATCGGGACTTGTACCATGGCTCCCACCTCTCGCCGGTGAATTGCTTCCTTCAGCAGCGTGACCACATCCTCGCCCTCACAGCCAGATGCCTTGAAGCCTTTTGTCCACTTGAGGAGGATGCTCTGGAAGAAAACAAACAAACAAATAAATAACTCACAGGCACACAAAGGGGGACATCAGAAAGGGGACACTGGTCGTTCCTGGAGCCCCACTTTGCAAACAGATTACCCACAAATGATCTTGCGCTTGTATGTAAGGTACTGACTTGGTTGTATCATTTAATTCTCACCACCGCTTGTGCGTATGTCTTAGTTTCCAGACTTAGTGAACAGTGAGCTGGGGAACAGCATAGGGACAGAAGCCACCAGGCTCCCCAGAGTCTGTACAGACTCAGACAGAGAAAGAACGTGGTCGGGCAGGGAGGATGAGTGCTTCTGTTCATGCCTGTGTGTACAAAGCTGTGCAGGTGGCAGGCGTGTGGAGGCCGGGGGCCGATACCTGATATCTTCCCCCTTTGCTGTCCACTTTATTGTATTCAGGGACTTGTCATTAAACCTAGAACTCACAAATTCAGTTAGATTGGCTGGTCAAGTGCCCGGATCTGCCTGGCTCTGCTTCCCCATGGCTGGAGTGACAGGCACATTATTGTACCCAGCTTTAATATGGGTGCTGGAGATCTGAACTCAGATCCTCTTTTTTACAAGGCAAGTACTGTACCATCTGAGCCATCTCCCAGCCCCTTAGAGCCCCTTTAATGTGCCCTTCATTGTGTGTGGGCCATCTGAACAGATACCCATTGACTTTGCACGTGGGAGAAAGGTTTGTTCCCTATTGCTCTTGATACTGTAGCCGCCAGCACAAACCAGCACCCTCAAATCCCTTTCCCGAAAGGCTGGAACCACGGCCACCCACATGCATGGTGTCTCCAAGCCTCGCTCATGGACGCGCCCATCACTTGCGTATTCTTAATAAACCTGGATGTGTCATCCTGTGATCAGATCCCAAGAGATTCAGAACCAAACAGCCCCGTGAAGGCCTGGCTTCACCCCCACACAGACAAAGGCGTGTTTGTCTCCTCTACCCATCTCTCATCTACCGGTGAGTTTTGTGCCTCATTTCACATGATCATTACAATAAGACAACACTGGGCTTCAACAGCCAGGGAGACTTGCCCAAAGTCAGTGGTGAATACATGTGGCCAGAGACCTCTGGGTCTCCATGTCTCTTTAATGTCTACTGAAGCCTCATCCAAAAGGTGATGTCATCAGAGCCAATGGCCACAGCTGGCTCTTGCTTTGTGTACTCTTTATTTAGTTCTAGACTTAATACACAGGCCTCACAGAAACAGACAGGAAAATTCAGCAAGTATCTAAGATGTTACAATCCTGACAGGAACAGTCAACAGTGTCAGGTTCCCCGATAAATGCACAAAGATTGCACACGCGTTGGCATGAAAAGGTAGTGTCTACCTGGGTGCACGAGGACCTGAGTTTGATATCCAGTACTCACGTAAAAACCTGGGAAGGTGGACACTGCAGAATCTCTAGGGCTTGGTGTCTAGACAGCCTTGCAAAATTAGTAAGCTCCAGGCTTTCATTAGAGAGACCTTGTCTCAAAAACAAGGTAGATACCCCTGCCTGAACATACAGGGGGCACCCCAACATATACACAAATAAATTAAATTTTAAAATACGAGTTCCCACTAAGGTCCCCAACCAAGGTCACTCATACCCTCTTTCCCTCTTCAAAGAGCAACTCTCCCTGCTGTAAATTAAAGCCCACATGACAGCCCTCCCGGAAGGCAGCGCTACCTGGTCCAGGCTGTTCTGTTGGCACGGGAAGGAGAAGGTGAAGCCCAGAGGCAGAGACACGCCTTTCATGCCCATGTACTCAAGGAAGTCCGCGATGCACTGGACGATGTGGTCAAAGAGCTGCAGGAAGAACGGGCACTGAGGGAAGGACCCGGGCCAGAGGGGGATGCCCCCAAACATTCGACCCAGGAGAATTGCAAGCTCAGGCATCACCTGAGGAGACACTCTGCCAGAGCCCTGAACCCTTGAGCCCTCCCCAAGCCAGGGGGGAAAGGCGCGGGGTGGGGGGGGGGGGTGTCTTTGAAGTTGGGAAGGCCACTGGATCCTCCCAGAAGCTCATGACCTCCCCTCCTCCCTGGCATGTCACCTCCTTTTCTCTCCCATCCCAAGCCTCACCTCTTCCCCAGTGCCATGCATGACATCTTGAGGGATGGAGTAGATCTTGTTATGCATCTCCACGCCCTTCCGCTTCCCGTTCCGCACGCGCACCAGCAGGACCCGGAAATTTGTTCCTCCAAGATCCAAGGCCAGAAAGTCTCCTTTCTCTGGAAAATCAACCCAGGGTGGTAATGAGTTGTGGTTGACAGAGAGTGAGAGTTTACACACCTGCCCTTTGTTAGGAAAGACGGAGCGTGAGCGCCACCTAGCAGTTAAGGAAGGAAGAGCCTCAGGACCAGATCTGAATGGTCCTACCTGACCCCAGAAGTCAGCTCTTTAGAACATCAGGTATGCCAATACAGTATTCTTAAAATTGTCAGATGTAACATCTGAGCCAAGACAAATGCTACAGAGGGTACGATTCTGGAAGAGAGAAGGAACAGCCGAGGGACTCTTTCAAAGGAAACTGAGGTCAGGCAGTGTGGCAAGCCTGCAATCCCAGCATTGGGGACGTGGAGGCAGGAGGATCAGGCATTCAAGGCCAGCCTCAGCTACACTGTGAGTTTAAAGTCAATCTTGGGCCATACGACCCCGAGGCAACCCAACCCATTTTTTCCCCCATATAGATGGTCTTGGAGATATGACTGAATGGGACAAGGCCACATCACTAGGAGGTGACCAGCGACCAAACCTTACTTTCTTCCCCTGGAGCCTATGCCAACTATGAAACACCACCATGGATCAGAAAGTTTTGTGAGGGCCAGGTAGGAAATACAAATAGACCCCAACTAACACAGTGTTTGAGAGCTGACTCTTGACCCCAGATCCCTAGGTCTGAATGTTGCTGACGCTGTCTGATTGTATGACCCTGAGCAAGGTTCTTAACTTCTCTCAGCTTCAGTTCTCTGCCAAACAGCAGATTTTTAACAAAATTGGTCCAAGTGTTGGCTACACCAATAATCCTAGAACAAGTATTCAGGTCACATCAAGCTACATGAGACCCACGCCAAAAAGCAAAACAAATGGGGCCCGAGAGATAATTTCAGCAGATATTTTTCTTGCAGGTCACGAGTTCATTCCCTAGCACCCACATCACAGCTGCCTGCAACCCCACCTCCAGGACTGGACACCCTCTCGTGGATTCAACCAGCTTATGCGTACTGACAGGCACGAAACTTAACATAAATCTTTTTTAAAAGGTCCATGACAAATGTCGGCAGCAGAACAAACCCCACCAGGCGAGCTGAGGGCACCCGTGCTGTGTACCTGTACCATCCGGGGTGGCGCACACGTAAGTAGGCAGCATCTTCACAGGGGCTACCGCATGTGTGGCCTTGCTCAGACCTTGCTCCATTTCCACCTTCATCCTCCTTTTGATCTCCAGCAGCTGCTCGCGGCTCAGCTTCAGAGCCTCCAGGGTCTTCTGGCGGGCACGGTGTTGGTCAGCCAGCCGGTAAGCCACCGCTGTCACCATAGCCGCCCCTTTGCCGCTGCCATCCTCAGACCGGAGGAAGCGAACATCACAGTCGGGCACCAGCCTCCTCACTGCCTTGTGAAGACGCTTGGCAAAACTGCAGCGGCACACAGAGTAAGAGACAGGTGTCCATGGTTACAGGGGTACAAACGGTTGCAGAGTAGCTTCCGCCTCTGCCCCGAGCCAGTGGCCCAGTGTCCATGTCTCCTCTCTCCATTCTTCCATCTTACTGTATAAGAGCTGGTATGCAATCGTGACTGCCCTAGCTGGTTCTTCTAAAGCTACTGCCCCCTGTATGCAGTCACAGGAGACATGATCTTTCTCATGGAACACGTCACAGCTCCTCTGCTTAGCAGATGGAGCCATCCTCTGTTAGGGCAATCTACTAGAGTCAAGTGTTTCTGTTGCTGCCTGCTCCTGGTTCATCTCATTTTATCCAATGCCCAGGGAATACCCTACAGGAACAGTTGGATTCAGGAGGATCTCAGTGAGGTCAAGGCCAGCCTGGTCTATAGATAGAGTGAGTTCCAGGACAGGCCCCAAAGCTACACAGAAACCTTGTCTTGAAAAAACAAAACCAAAAGGTGGAGGCAGCTGGGGGTGATGTCTAGCTGGCAACGTGCTTGCCTACAATGCACGGAGCACTCAACCCGACACTACATAAAGGTGGCACAAGCCTGTAATCTGAGAACTTGGGAGGTAGAGAAAAGAGGATCAGAAATTTAAGCTCGTCCATGGCCACATATTGAGGCCAGTCTAAAGCTACATGACAGCCTATCTCAAAACAGCAAAAACCAGAGAGTGGAGGAGACAAGACAAGACAAGACAAGGACTCAGCAGCCAGGAGCTCTGGACAGAGGGCAAATCACCAGCTGCCTTCAGAAGTCAACCCCACCCAGACCGACAGTGTCCACTGGGGAACAAAGCACTGACTCCTGGAGTCTTCAGCGGGCTCCATTGCTCCCACGCCCAGACCGCTCACTCACTGGGGGTGTTTCTTGTAGACAGAGCCATCGACACCGATGGTGGAGCGAAGTCGCTCCTCGCCCTTGTTCTCTTTGATGCGCCACAGTACCGCAGCCAGGGTGGCTGCGCACAGGCTGGCCGAGCGCGTGGACACAATCTGGCAGATTCGTTGTGTGGCCACGCAGTCCTCCTGCAACGGAGTCAGACCCAGACGCACCAGGATCTGGTAGGCCTTCCGTAGTCCATCCTTATCACTAGGAAACAGATAATAGGGTGTGAGATAGGGTGTCTTAACTCGCTGTGACCAGTGGGAGGGGCTGTGGGCTGGCCGGGGAGCCCCCAGCTTCAGCAAACTCCCCCTTCAAGGGAGGGTAGACTCCTTCAGCAGTAGGGAGTAGAGCCCAACACAGCAATTCCAAGGCTCCTCTCTCAGAGCCCCGCTCCCCCTACATACACACAGGAAAAAACTAGTAGCTCCTCTACGTGTGCCTTATAAAGACAAGACCCTGTTTTGGCTGCTGCACATGCTCCGTGAGCGAGTGGCAGGTTCCTGCTCTACTCCCCTCGAAGCAGATGAATGGCGGGCCAGCTGCCAGCCACCTCTGAGTGCAGGAGTTCAGTCTGCGGCCCGTCTGTTGCTCTCTAGAACAGCACTAGTCAGACTGTACCTGCAGCTAGGGTCAAGGAGACTCAAGTGGGCGCGTGCCTCTGTAACACAGGTCTTTGTCCTGCTTTGGGCTTACAAAGAGTGGGCAGAATTACTCCAAGGGTCCTTCTTAGCAAAGTCCATTGAACTATTTCGCTGCCCTGCTTTGGCACAAAAACTTTCTCTCTCCATCACGTCCCTTCAGTCACATCGAAATCTCAAGCATAGCAGAGTTAAATCTTGTGGTATTGTTATAAATGATAAAGAAAAACCAGGATGTCCTTACTCCCATCTCTGCCAAGCTATGAGTGGGTACGTGTATCTATGGGAATCTGCCCTGGTTAGCCTCAATGGTCAGCTTGAAACAGTCATCTGAGGACAAGCCTCAGTGGAGGAACTGCCTGGATCGGTTGGCCTGTGGACATGTCTGTAGGGGACTGTCTTGATTGTCAATTGCTGAGCCCTCTCAGCCCACTGTGGGTGGTCCGTTCTTAGGCAGATGGTGCTGGACTGAAAAAGGAAGCCAGCTGAGGCAGCAGTGCTTCTATTTCAAGTTCCAACTGACTTCCCTCTGTGCTGACTGTGACCCGGAAGTATAAGCCAAACCAACCCTTTCCTCTCCCAGTGGCCTTTGGTCAGAATGTGTCATCGCAGCAGAAACGAAAACAGAGCAGCATCCAAAGACCACTTTTTTTCCTGTTGTAAAACTGGGGTCAGCACAAAATCTTTCCTCCAACATCACGCCCAAAGCAGCATCCCAAGGCCAGACTCTTGGAGACCAACTGTTCCTAGCATCCTGAGTCACCCTGGTACTGTCATTCTCAAATTAGCAGGAGCAGAGACGAGGAAATGAAGTTGTAGGGCCACCCAAAGACACCTGTATGGACCCCCTGTGATCCAACTTCAGACCTTAAAGGCCTGCCTGGGGACACTCAGAGGGTAAAATGCTTGTTTGTAAATATGAGGACCCGAGTTGAATCCCCACAACTCATGTAAAAGTCAGATGATATGATGTGTGTCTGATCGCAGCACCGAGGAGGGGGAGATGGGGGAGACCTTGGGGGCTCCCTGGCCAATCAGCCTAGTCTACTTGGTAAATCTAGGCCAGTGAGAAAAATCTCTCTTAAAGCTAGGCAGCCTGTAGAACATACAAAGTCTGGACCTATGGCACACACATTTACACACACACACACAGAGCTCAAAGCCAACCCGGTCCATTCCCCCTCCACCCCAGTTCCCACCCAAATCATAGAGACTGGGTGAGCAGAGAGGCAGAGGGCCCAGCAGCTTACTCCTCAATATCTGATACATCTTTGGTCTCGAAGGAGCCAGTGGTAAGGAGTTCCGGGCTGAGCTTCCCCTGGAACAACAGCTCTTCCTTAGCCATCTTGACCAGGATGAGTCTGACCAGTTCCCCCATGTACATCCCGCTGATCATCTTCTCAAACCTGCAGAGACAGACCAGTGACGGTCCATTAATGGACGGACGCCATGCCTCCTCCAGAGACAGACCAGTGACGGTCCAGAAACAGACGGACGCCATGCCTCCTCCCGAGGCCGGCAGACATGAGACTTCAGCGGGCTTTAGATGTCGGCGATTGAGGATTCATTTAGACTTACAGAACACAGTGGTTCTGTAAGGAGACATAAGACACAGCACCAGCCAATCATCCATAAAAGTGAGTGGGTTCATTAAATATCCCAAAGAAACATAGGGATTATGGAATATTCTGGAACAGAATCTGGGGTAACTTAAGTTTCCCAGAGAGTGATTATTTAAAGTCCAACTCAGAGCTAGGCATGGTGGTCATACCAGTAAAGGCAGCACTTGGGAGATGGCGATAGGAGGGTCAGAAGATCAAGGCCACACCAGGCTACAGGAGACCCCATCTCAAAAATCCAAAACAGAGCAACAACAAAAGTATTACTATTACTCTACCCCACAACAAAACAAACAACAACAAAAAATGCCTTTGCTGGTGGTACAGTTTCTGCTGCTACTGTTTTGCCTTTCTGAGACAGGGTCTCCAGGCTGGCCTCGAACCCAGGCAACGTCCATCGTACTAAGATTACAGGTGCACTGCACTACACCAAGCAGGAAAATGCTCCTTTTAAAACAAAACCTTAGAGCCAGTCATGGTGGCTCGCACTGTTCACACCGAGGGGCTGAGACAGGACTGCTATGGTTTGAGGTCACTGTAGTTGCACCAAGTTTCAACCCAGCCTGGTGAGATGCTGTCTCAAGAAAAAAAATAGTAACAATATTTTTTTAAAACTAGCCTTATATAGAGCCCCAACAGAAAACTGAAGTAGCTCTAATTAGATCTAGGTACAGATCTTCCCGCTCATCTACAGACACTGCCTTCCAAAGTTTGTGGACTCTCAAGAAAATGGATGATAATAGCCAGGGCAGAGGCTGGGGCAAAGCTCCAGGGCAAATAGAGAGCTCAAGAATCTGGGGGTGAACCCTGAGAGCTTTTTGGGGTACAAGAGACAAAGGAAGGCGTGACAACAGGAGAAATCAGCTCCAGAATCGAGTCCAGTAATTTAACTTCCCACCACTAGGTGTCACTGTTTTCTTTAGTGATTGTTTTTAGTCTAGGATCCTAGGATCACGTGACAGAAGAAACCAAGCCTTGAGGATTATCTTTTTGGTAAAGAAAGCCCGACGGCGTCTCAGAAAGGAAGCAGAATGTGTACTAACTAGGAGGGGCCATACCCCAGCAGGGGCGTGACACAGAGTGATATTTAGCAGAAGTTGAAAGCCAGGTTCTCAAGCAGCAAGATGTGACTTGCTAAAGCAGGATAAAGCAAAAGGAGAGTTGGCAGATTGGCTTCAGACACCAAACGACGAAGCATTTGGGAGACTGAGGCAAAAGCATCAAAGTTTCGGGCTAGCCTAGGCTACACAGTGACACCCTGTCTCAAAAAGGAAAAAATTAGGGATAGAGAAACAATTCTATTGGTGAAAATCTAAGTTAGATTCCCAGCACTCATAACTGCATGTAATTCTAGTTTCAGAGGCTCCAGCACTCTCTCTTCTGGCTTCCTCAGCATAGGCACGTGGGCAGGCACACAGTGCGGTTAATAAATGCAAAAAAAAAAAAAAATCACTCCTGCACATGAAATAAAAATCAATCTTAAAAAGAAAAAAAAATCATCCCAGATAGTGAGTTCAAAGCCAGCTTGGGCTGCATGAGACTGTCTCAAAAATGAAAAACCCAAAGCTCCAACATGGGCCCCAGCCTGAGGAGCAGCCTGGCCTCAATTCAGCACTATAAAGTTCAAATGTCTACATCACACTGTCAACCGATAGGGTACCACCCCTCCATCAACGCTCTTCACAACATGACATTGTCCAGCATGGCTTAGGGCCACCCCAGCTGACAGTCACTTTATCTGTGGGCACTTCTGAAGACACAGCTCCTCACAGTGACGAGGGTGTGCGCCAAGAATGTAAGCAGGCACCGAGTTAGTGGCTTTTCAGCGAATAAACCTCTCAGCAGCCACAACAGACACATCCAGAAATTCCTAAGCGTCCAAGTGCACAGACTGCCATTTCATCATGAAGAGAAGCCTGTGTGTGAATTAAAGGCTAGCCACCTCTGCTCCAGTTCATAGAGCTGGGCTTTCTGGGCTTCCTTTCCAGATAGAGGTCAGAACTAACAGTTTTTCTAAAACGCAGCATCAAGAAGACCACAGATATGGTACATTGCTCAAAACGGTTTTGCAACCCTTTTAGCCCTTGCCACAGCCAACCCTGTCTCAAGATCTTCAACAGAAGTTTAGCAAATTCAACAGCAAAATAAGGTTGTGTAAGAGTCAAAAGCAGGCCTGAAGAAATGGCTCAGCAGTTAAGAACACTGGCTGCTTGCTCTGCAGAGGACCCAGATTCGATTCCCAGCACCCACATGGTGGTAACTCCAGTTCCAGGGGATCCAATGCCCTCTTCTGATCTCCTACAATCACCAAGTATGAATGTGGTACAATACACACACGCAGGCAAAACACTCACATGTAAAACAAAATTAACACATCTTATACAGACTTTTAAAAAAAAGTCAAAAGTAACAAAGCTCAAACTGGAGCATAAAGGACTCAGGATCTAAATGCTGAGCCTCCGATTTCCCCAGGACACAGCTGAACCAGAGGCCTAGTACAAATGAAGGCTGAAAGACCTGGCACTCTGAGCAAGCAACAATAAAAAATAAAAATAAATAAATAAAAAAGAAGAAGAAGAAAAAGAACCAACACCAGGCAGCACACACCCTTAATCCCTTAAGAAGCAGAGGCAAGTGGGTGGGTTTGTGAATTTGTAGCCAGTTTGGGTCCACATAGACAGCCAAGGACTAAAACAGTAAGAGACCACGTCTCAAACAAAACCAAATTGAAGTCAGGGATGTAGCTCGGTTGGGAGTATTTGCCTGGGTTCAGTTCTCCTCATCAAATAAAGCAGGTGCTGCAGTCTTGTTCCCCAGCAGTGATGGGCCGAAGGCCACAGACAGTGCCTTTAAAGGACTTCATGTCATAGTCACTGTGTCTTTTCTAAGGGCTCACCATCTACAGGCAAAAGCAAGTACTTGGCCGGGCGTTGGTGGCGCACGCCTTTAATCCCAGCACTCGGGAGGCAGAGGCAGGCGGATCTCTGTGAGTTCGAGACCAGCCTGGTCTACAGAGCTAGTTCCAGGACAGGCTCCAAAGCCGCAGAGAAACCCTGTCTCGAAAAACCAAAAAAAAAAAAAGCAAGTACTTGGAATGTGACCTTCCAAAATGACCTTTCTGCTCAGCACACCTCTGAGCCCAGCACAGTGGGGGCTGAGGTAGGACTCTTGCTCATCAAGATTCGGTCTCGGAAAGAACCCAAGACAAAAAAGTGACCATCCTGAAGGGCAGCAGTGTGTTTTTATTTCGTGACTTATGATCTTAAGCATCCCCACAACTGGTGTGTGCCACCACAACCCTTTGGGGACAACGCAAAAGCAAGGAAACAACAACCCTTCCCTGTGGCAGTCCCCACCTCAGCCCCACACCCTACCCATACCCACCCACAGGAAGGCCCCACTTACAGCTGCTTCCCAGGGTTCAGTGAGCCCATGTCGATTTCTCGGTCAAACTCGGTGCGGATGTCATTGAGCGTACCATCGTCCCCGAAGGCCCCCCACTCCATGTTGATGCACATCCGTCCCTCGTCACCCTCTACCATGTCAATGTGACGCATCTCCTCCATGTAGCAGGCATTACTGCCAGTACCTGGTCAAGGGAAGGAACTGTTCCTCCACTGCCTCCACACACTCTCAGCTCCCACCCACCTCCCTCCTCATCGCTGTTTGTCTGCCTAGGGGCTGAGATTCCTCACTGCAGCCTCCTGGAACAGGCCAGGCAGCTAGTACACTACACTGCTTAACTGCACAGGTCCTGGCTTGGCCCAAAGTAGCTGCACCATTATCTTTACAAAGTAGGAGAAAACGCCAGGGCTAAGAATGTCTTGCTCACTCTCGGTGCCCATTGCCACCCGCTGATTGGCACCACCTTCACACCAGGGGCTCACTCACCCACAATGAGACCAATCTCACAGTTCTGATCATCATAGCCACAGGTCATCATGGTCCCAACTGTGTCATTCACTACGGCCACAATGTCAATGTCAAAGTCCTGCAGAGGATCAAAGGAACTTCATCATCACGAGGGAGAGACAGGCAGGAAAACGGAGAAAGCAAGATGCTCCATGCAGGTGTGTTATCAACTCAAACCGTAGCCAAAGATGGTTAGAGGTAGAGATCTCCCCATCTGTCTTCAGTAAGGGCAACTTTCCAGACAGCAGCAAGGTTTGGGGCCATCTTGTCTTCTCCCTCCTACACAACCAATAGACCTAGCCTGTCACCTCTCAGCTCCATTCCTCCCTCTTGTCAATCATGCCAACATTTCTCCTTCAGGCTAAGGATTGAAGGGTGTTTCTTGCACCAAGGCCAGAGTTACTGTTCATCAAGCAAATTTCAAAACCCCAAAGGCATCTGATCACATCCAAAAGTCCCTGGGAAGCATGGCAGGAATGCTCAACACTTATCCTTGAGTCCTACAAAACCATCTCGTGCTGAGTCCAAGGGCAGATGGAAAGATTCAGAGTGGAGCTGACAGAGCCGGCAGCCCGAGAGCTCCCACCGGCTACTCACCCCTCTGCGCTGGATAGCCTGCCGGATCAGATTCACCACGTCCCTGCCTTCCACGCCGCTCGACTTGAACCCCTTGGTCCACGAGACCAAGAAACTCTAGAAGAAGACCAAAGAATGATTTCCCACAACTGAAACAGTGACAACAGCGCTCAGCAGAGCCCTCTGCACCTCGGCTAAAGCCATGGCTAAATCTGTACACTGTCTCCTGACTAGTCCGGGAAGGAGGCTCGGCTCCCAAAAAACACCGGGAGAGGAGCGTGCATACACGAGTTTGTCGTGATTCCTGTCTCTGATCAGCGGAAGGAGGGGTCAAACAGGACACACAGCCCTCACATTTCTGACCCTGCTGAGGGCTGGGATTATGGCATGTGCTGCTGTGGCCAGTTCACGCCGTTCTGGCGATGGCACCCAAGGCACTGTGTGTGCAAAGCAAGGATTCTACCAGGTGAGTGCATCCCCAGCCTCCCAGGTGTCTTTGTTTCATCCACAGGTCTTTCTTCTCATGGCCCTTTAGATCCAAAGAGATCTTAAATTCTCATTACTGCTAACTTGGACAGGATACGGATACCACAAAGTATATCCTGGGGTGTAGAGGAGGGTAACAGAACACCCCGTCTTTCATATGGCATCACCATCCTCTGCACCGACACATATTACTCACAGGTTCCCAGAAGGACCAAAGTCTCAATACTGAGAGCTCATATGCAAAACACCTCAGCGCCACTGGGACCACAGCTGCAGAGGGCTCAGGAGTCCTCCCCTGCCCTCACAACCCCAAGCCCGATGCCACCACAAGCATCTCAGCCTGCCGTACCTCATCTAGTTTCGTCTGGTGGCAAGGGAACGAGAAGGTAAAACCCAGGGGAAGCTTCTTCGCTTTGATTTGTAGCTTGTCCATGAAGTTGGCCAGGCACTCGGCAATGTGGTCAAACAGCTGAGGACACAAACAGGAAGTGAGCCGGGAAGCAGGATAACGCAGAGGGAAAGAGACTTGGTGTGGCGGTTTTACACTGATTGCCAGCTTGACAGAATCTGGCGTGACCTAGAAGACAAACCTCTAAGCATGCCTGTGAGGGTGTTTCTGAATTAGGTTTGTTCAGATGGGAAGATCTACCCCAAACATGGTGGCACCCTTGCAACAGGCTGGGGTCCTGGATTAAAAGAGTGATTGATCTGAGCAGCACCTATATCCATCTCTCTGCTCCTGGCTATGGACACAATGTGACCAGGCTCCTGCCTCCATCTTCCTGACCAAGACAGACTGTATCCTCTAACCCTGAGGCAAAATAAACCCTGACTTTCTAATGTAACTTGTTACAGTAACGCGTAACTTATAAAAAACAAACTACTAGAACTTAAGCCATCGTCTGCTCTCCTGTTAAAAGGATATGACATCTGCACTCAGTCTCCGTGTGCACATAACGCTAATTAGTGTTCATCAGATGGAGTCTTCCACTGAAGGCTTTTATGTGACTCTCAGTCAGAAGAGCCCATAAGTCAGGGGAAGTAGCAATCAGAAAGTCCACATATTCCCCGAGGACAGAGCATTCCCCGCTGGCCATCATGGAAGTCCGACTTATCTTCCCAGAATAGAATGCCAACCACACTGCCAAGAAGTGCTTTGGCACCCCTGACTCTTGATGGAGGAGGGACAGAATACTTTCTGTTGGCTCTTGATGAATCAATTCAACAAAAATAAGCAACCTTCATATTTTTCCTCTGTAAGAGAAAACTAATTCCTGGGGGGCAATTCAGAGAAGTTATTTTTGGTTCTGTTGCTTATCTTATTCTAATTTATTTTCTGGGTATAGATGTGTGTTTGTCTGCCCGGGCGGTCAGAAGAGAGTGATCCCTTAGAACTAGAGTTACAGGGGTTGTCGGGGGCCCGCTGTGGATTCTGGGGTCCACACTCTTGTCCCCTGATAAAGCAGCAATGGCTCTTAACCACTAAGTCATTTTCCCAGAGCCCCTATGTCTGTTTTCTGGTTTCAGAATGAAAGCCAGGGAAGTGAGAGCACTGAGCGGGGCCCACACATCACTGAGCCTCACAGAGCTGTGCTCCTGACAAGTCAGGCCTCCAGCAGGCTAGAGCTCACCACCACCACGCAGGCCCCTCCTCACCCACTCAGCAAAGAGAAGCTGGTAACTCTCGAGATGTTGAGAGATTGAGGCCAGGGGCCATGTGGTCTAAAAAGGAAGCAGAAGCCAAAGAGGCTGAACAGACTCCAAGGGCCAAGAGGCCAGGTGGCAAAAATCTAAAAGCCAAGGAAGCAAAGTCGGGAGAATGAGGACACGCATGTTCCTTCCTAGAAGGAAGCAAAGGGGCTGGTGAGATGGCTCAGAGAGTTAAGGCACTTGGCACCCAGCACGTGGCCTGAGTTCAATCCCTGGGACCCACATGATGGAGAGAAAGCGGGGCTACTCTGTGATATCCTCCAGTCTTCACACACCCCTCTGGGAGACCAAGCCACAAGTTCACTGTGGAATCCTGAAGCAGATTTCCACATTTCCACCATAAGGGATGGGGGTTAAAAGGCCACTGGCTCCCTGATGTCTGGGGTGATGGGCAGGTGTGGAGTCAGGAAGAAAGCCAGCCTAATCTAGGAGGAGCCAGCCCGCACTGAACTCCTACGTGGATCCTGTCCATCTGTCTCATTCTGCGCAAGGGTAACCACAGCTGATGCTGAACTTTGAACCTCCAATCCAAGGCAAGCGCACAGACAAAGCTGTCATCAAGAGGATCATCGGCAAAGACAGGCCATCTTCCCTTGAGCTAGCTGAAAGTTTAATATACAGATAGGGCAGAGAGAGAGAGAGAGAGACAGAGACAGAGACAGAGACAGAGAGCAGCAAGCTCTGCCCATGCTGAAACAAATATGGGGCATATTAAACACATTCATAGAACCTTATTCCGATGCTCATTTATACACTTTTCCCCAGTGCTGAAGACAGAACTAAGCCTCGTGCATGCTGTGTGTGTACTCCGCCACAGCTCCAGCCCCAGCCTTCAGGGTGAGAATCTTTATCCAAAGAGAAGTCATAGAAAAATCAAGCAATCATGGGGATTGGAGGAGCCTTTATCTAGGATGGGGAGCAAGATGTCTGCCCAGTTCCCAGCCCTGACCACTGTTCTGCCTTTCTTACAAAAAGCAAGAAAAAAGTCCCTGCACTCAGGGGGCTGAGACAGGAGAATGGAGAATTTTGGGGCCAGCCCGGGCTCCCTCTCCAGAGCCTGTCATTAGGTTAAACTGAATCTGGCTTGTCAGTCACATAAGTTTGCCATGCTTCAGGTGACTCATGGCTTTGCAATAGGGCAGGCAAATGTGTTGCAAAGAGTTCTGAGTCGGTGTTAAGATCAAACACCTATAGGCTTTCTAGAAGGAAAAGGAGACGATTGCTCACTTGAACTGGAAGACTCACTCTTCCTGCTGTCTGAGGATCAGGATAGGATGCTGGGAAAGTCAACACTTTGCTGCCATAAAAAAGGCTCAAAGGGCACAAGCCTGCCAGTCTGTGCTCCAAGCTTTTCCTGCTTCTTATTGACAGAGGACAGCTCACTCCTCTTCCCAAGAGCTACACCTCATAAACTCCAGCGGGGTGTGGCAGAAGGCTGATGAGGAAGGGGTTATCAAGATTGCTCTGAACAGGAAGTCAGTGACCAGAAGACAGGCGACACCCTGGACAGGTAGATTCACAGTTATTTGATTCCCACAAATTGCCCTGTGATCTTTACATGACACACACAATAAATACAGCTAAAAAGAAAAAAAGAATAGAAATGATTTTCTTCATGCCTTCTAACTCAGTAGTTTGAGATTTTTTTTATTAGATATCATATTTTAATTATTTTCATTTGGAAACAATGTCACACTATATATAGCCCAGACTGGCTTTGAATTCTCAATCCTCTAGGCTCAGTTTCTTGAAGCTAGGATTACAGCTGAGTATCTGGCTCTGCCAGTCTGAGAGATTTCAAAGTCAATTTTAACTTCTTGGATCCTGAAACAGATTCTTTCTAGGTTGACAGACACAGTGCAACTGTCACTTCGTGTCCCAAGCCCTAGCCAGGCTCCTGGGGGGAAGCAGACAAGACCATGGGGTACCTGGGCACCTCGTGTGGTTAAAGAGTAAGTAACCACCTATGGAGATGGGTGAATCGTCCAGCTCATTGTTAGGACACTGAAAGTCTTTCTCACAATCACAGACAAACTTCTGGTACAGTTTTTGACTTTGTCTTATTTGGTTCTCAAATATTTATCATCTGGGAGCAGGGCCCAGAATGAGAGACAAGCAACCTGAAGAAAAGGTGATCACATTCTTCATGAAGGGGAACAACGCCATTGGCGGTCAGAGACTGAGGCCAGGAAGGAATGTGAAAAAGAGAAAAACTCCCATGGAGAAACAGCAAACACCAGTGTGCCCGCCACTTGTGGCACTAGCCACACCCCTGCCCTCTGAGCAGCTGCAGGACCTAACTATTACCCCACCATTTCTCTCTACAGACTGGGGCACCATGAGGTGTTGCTCAGAATCACACAGCAAGGCTGTCCCAATACAGGACCTAATCTTTTAAGCAAACACCCTGCCACTGTGCAGACAGTGTTCTTCCTGACACCACACAACAGCCATGAGACCCCCTCAGCAGAACCAAAATGCCCACAACCCCAAGTATCCAGGATAGCCTCAGAGCCACGCCCAGAGACCAAGGGTCTGAAAATATCTTCTCGCTTTTTCAGCTCACCATGAGCATGCTTTCCCCAGGAGTAGTCTGCTTGGGGGAAGAAGCCCATAGCCAACTGAGGGTTCCACCTCTCCCAGCCAAGTGCCCTCTGGACACAGAACATGGCAGAGATAGTCAGGGCTCTCCCCCTGGAAAACCTTACAGCTGGGACAGTATCCAGGATGTCCTAGGGACTGTCTTGTGGTGGGAGAAGGTGCAGGGTGTCCCACGGGTATTGGTAGCTCAGCTGCTGTCCCAATAAGAAGACTGTACCTGGGTTCCACTGCCCCTCATGATGTCCTCAGGGATGGCATAGATCTGGTTCTCCATCTCCACCCTCTGGAGGCCATTGTCTGTCACCCTTACTCGAAGCACACGGAAGTTGGTTCCTCCAAGGTCCAGAGCCAGGAACTCTCCATGTTCTGTAGACAAAGGAGGGGCCACAGTCAATATGGGGAAAGACAAGAGCAAACAGCCTCCAGGAGACCAGTCAAGACTTCAACCCTCTAGTCCTCCATGAGCATCAGTCACTCATGGGTGAGCGCGGTCAATTGGTTCAATTTTTCCAGACACATCGGTCTCTTTCTTTCTTTGAGACAGTCTCATAGAGCAATCCAGGCTTGCTTCCAGAGCCCTAAGATTATGGGCATGCCCCGTCATACCCAGTTTCATGCTTGGCTTTATTCCTTCCTTCCTTCCTTCTTTCCTTCCTTTTCCAAGACAGGGTTTTTCTGTGTAGCTTTGGAGCCTATCCTGGAACTCTCTCTGTAGACCAGGCTGGCCTCGAACTCACAGACATCTGCATGCCTCTGCCTCCTGAGTGCTAGTATTAAAGGTGTGCACCACCACCGCCCGGTTATGTTTGGTTTTCTTAATGATAAGATATCTTTTTATTACTTTGCAATTCACACGAACAATGAAACAATTTCATATTCCTGCTTGCCTGGTTGGCTTTTCAGTGACTTAGAATTGGAGTTGTTTGGGAAGAAGAATGTCCATTGAGAAAACAGCTTGGCCTGTAGGCTTTATCCCACCAGGCACTAGCAATAGGGAGAGGAAGCACCCCAGAGAGGGTCAATGACACAGGCAGCTGCTGGGAGGCACAGGGCAGTGGGCACAGCATGAAAGTGCGGAAGAAATCTGGAAACCACAGGAGAGCCAGATGAGAGAGCGCTCACTCCACTGCAGCCTCTCCCGGCCACCTGCCTCACCTCCTCTGCCGGGATAGGGTTTGTTCTCGGTTGGGGAGAGGAGACTCACTTAATGTGCTGGTCAACACTGATCTTACCTGGCTGGGAGGGTCCAAGACACGTTCTGACTAAATAAACTAAAGAATTTCGTCTGTGCCCAGGTTCCCTGGGCTCCCTAAGCACCTTGCCTCCCTCCCGCAAATGGCTACCCCCTTCCCCCCAGAATAGCCACATCTTAGCAGCTCCCTAAATACAATGTCTATAGTCCCTAAAATGCAAAGCCGAAAGTAGTAGCTTGGGGTAAGTGTCAGCTACCTGAGACTCCTCAGGACTCTCTCTCACACACACACACACACACACACACACACACACACACACACACACGGTCTGTCTGGTGCAAAGCTAGTGAAACTCATTACATGTGAGAAGCCATGCCTGGCTACTTTTTAGCCTAAAGTCTCTTTTACTCCAGGCATACAGAATTTGGTTCCTTGGCCTCTGTTCTGTAAAATAGGAGCATCACACCTCCCACGATTGTTTTGAGAGAATTAGGTAATGTTCTTGAATCATCCAGAACTACAGCAAGATCTTAAAAGACACAGTAAGCACCAGGCTCGTGGCAAAGTTGGTCTCACACCTATTGGGATAAGTCTTCCAGACCCCATATGGTGAGAGATGACAGACACCTTTTTGGGGAATGCCACTGGAGTCAATGCTGGAGATTTCGGCATTCTTCCTACAGGTACCAATTTTCCATTGGGCTTCAGAGGGCATTGCCACACTGCTCGCACTAGGTGCCAATTCCTTTGGCTTACTAAAGCAATGCCAGCCTTGTCTGGTTGGGGGGGGGGGCGTTCTGTCCATCCCCTCCTTGTGGCCTCAGATGACTTTTCTAGACACTCAAGTACTGAACCACCACCGGCCATGGGGCCTCAGCCAGAGTCTAGGAAACACTATGTGGTAGTTGTCAGGGGGATGAAAGAGAAAATGAAGGGTGAGCTGCCTCATCAGCACTTTGAGGTCTGGGATACACACGATCTGCTGAATCAGTGACCGTGGGGGACGGTTGGTTATGAAGACTGGCCCAGCTGGATTCAGCCCGGCATGGCTCCATCAGGAATGTGATTCAACTGTATTTTCCGATAGACTAAAGAGGGACACTCGCCATTCTTTCAGAACACACCCCTCTCCTCTCCTCTCCTCTCCTCTCCTCTCCTCTCTTCAGCACATGCTCCTCACACACTCGTGACCAAGGACTGGATCCTCTCTCAGTTCAGAGCATGAAGCAGTGACTCCAGAAACCACATGATGATCCCAAAGGGCAACAGAGGGACCCAATCTCTGTATGGCTCATGACCGTTACCCACAGGGCAGAGACTAAGTGACAAACTTTATACATGGTGACCAGGATTCATGAATTCTGGCTCAGCAGTGGCCTGGGCACTGCATGGGGTCCTCTGGGTATGTTCCTCACAGCTTATAGTGCTGACTTCCCACAGCACTCATGAGGTTTTGATGAAATACGGACTAGGTTATATATGAATGTATGGACACACAGATAGCCATCGGGAAAGTGTCAGGGTCCTTGTTATCCTTCATTATCGTTCCTTGGTCTGAAAGTTCTTCTCCTAACTCTTCTTGGTCACTCTGAATACTACTAGTTATAGCTCAAGCCCTACCTCCACTGGGATCCTTCCAAGACATTCCAGCATCCCAGAATAACGTTCATGGGAGCATGTGACAGGCTGTGAGTGTGAAGGGCAAACACATCAGTGGGACTATGGCAGGGAAGGAGAAAGGTTCTGATGCAAGGAACACACCAAGAGCGGGTTTCCTAGCCCCGCATGGTGATATACTCCTGTAAACCCAATACTTAAGAGGTGGGAACCAGAGTTAGTCTCAGCTACATGAAACATAATTAATAAAACTCAGGGTCAGAAACTGGGGTTCAACATGAAGATCTGAAAAGCAAAGCAGCCAAGTACTGGCTCTTACCTCGACCTCAGTCGGAAATAGCGATCCTGCCTCCAGGAATCTCAGAATGAGATAGAATCTGGTCTGTAAGGCTGACCAGTGGGGCTGTTTTACTCTCAGATCTTCAAGCGGTCTTTATTTATTAAAATACATTTGAAATGCCACTACAGGTACAAACTGAGTTTCAGTGCAATGGGGGAAGAGATTCCTTAAGAAATCATAACCAGGGTTGAAGAGATGGCTTGTGGGTTATGAGAGAGCACTGATCTCCCAGAAAACTTGAGGCTGGCTTCCAGCACCCACATTGGGTTGCTCCCCACCATCTAAAACTCCTGTTCTAAAGGACCAGACACCCTCTACTAGTATCCACACGCACTGCATTTACATGGTGCACAGGCATATAAGCAGGCATACATACATACATACATACACACACACATACACACACATACATACATACACACACACACACATACATACATACATACATACATACGAACAAAAATAAATTTTAAGACAGGCATAATGATGCAGAACCTTAATCTGGAGGCAGAGGCAGGCAGAACTCTTGTGAGTTTGAGGACTGCCTGGTCTAAATAGTGCACTCTGGGACAGGATTACAAAGACTCTATCTCAAAATAAAATAAAATTTAAAATAATGCCTAATAAAATACACTTTTAAAAAACTACTAGCAAAAAAGCCCAATAGGCTCTCCAGAGAATACCCAGTAACTGCAGCTGGTTTCTGAGGTGACTTAGTACTCACAACACTACCTCACACTGGATTCGTTCACTAAGGCTCACACTTATTTAGAAAGGCGTTTGACTGGCAACTACAAGGGTTTTATGAGATCTGGTCCGGTGACTTCTCATACTGTTAAGCAAGCTGTTAGTTATCACTGGATCTTAACTTTCACTTTTTAAAAAATAAAATATGAGCGCTGATGAGTTGGCTTACTGGGTGAAGGTGACTGCCACCAAGCCAGACAGCCCGAGTTTGATTCCTGGAACCCTCATGACGGAAAGAGAGAACGCATTCTTGCAAGCTCTCCTCTGACCTCCATATTCACTCTGTGGCACTTGCACACGCACGTGCCTTCCAGAACACACAGGTGCACACACACACCAAACAAGTGCAATAAAACACTGAATATGCTGGGAGAAGGAAGTTAGTGGCAGATGCCTTTGATCACAGCCTATATTCAGGCCCGGAGCTGCCTAGCCGAAGGATGTTTCGACGATGAGTAACAAGGCTGCTTACTGGAAAGCTATAAACCCTCAAATAGGGAATTCTTCACTTACAATGCCAAGAGTATAAAACCTGGAGGCAACAGCACCCCCAAGTTGGGCTGTGTGTCAGGAAGTGATGCCTCTAAAATTGAGTCATTTGGTTAAGGTCACAAAAGGGTGAAAGAGAGGTAGGGTTTGATGTCAAGGCTTCCAACTCTAAAACCTGTGCCTGTTCTCCAGGCCCACACCCTCCTCTTTCGTGACTCTCAATCCTGGAAGCCATAGAGTAGCAAGAAGGAGAAACAAGGATTCCGCCATCTCTACCAGGAGCCCAGCCGATCCGCTGGAGGCTAGATATTCCACACTGAGTGGAGGGATGAAGGCAAGTGAGACGGTGAAGAGCAGTAGGCCCCTCCCTACAGCAGGACCTGCGGAAGCTGGCTGATGTGGGGTTACCTGTCTATGCACAAAGTAAACCAGTACCCTCTTGTACCATACCAACACACTCTGTACCCACCTCACAGGACAATCTAGGCCTCTCTGAGGAAGATGCTGTTTAGTTTTTTGTTTTGTTTTGTTTTTAAATTATGTATACAGTGTTCTGCTTGCATGTTTGCCTGCAGGCCAGAAGAGGGCATCAGATCTCATTACAGATGGCTGTGAGCCACCATGTGGATGCTGGGAATTGAACGCAGGACCTCTGGAAGAACATCCAGTGCACTTAACCTCTGAGCCATCTCTCCAGCCCAATGTTCTTCATTTAAAAACACCCACACACATAATACATAAAATATAAACCAGAAAATAGTTCCACCCACAGCACAGGTACTGGCGACAGAGGGGAAGGGTGGTGCCCCCTCCATCCAACTGCTCGGTGGGAGAAGGGCGAAGCTGCTCCGTCCAGCCTCTTGTTGGCTGACTCACTTCCCAGCCCATACAACCAGCAGCCCACTTTCGGTTTGACTCTTATCAGATCCATAAGGTCAGTGAGATAAAGGGTTCCAGCTTCTCCTGGGAACTCACCTGTC